GGCAGAAGAGAACACTGCAGAAGTAGTACAGGTACACAAGAACCCATATGCACTAGGGCCCCAAGGGTCTACTATTATTGGCACAAAATGTCTTTTCCTGGGGACATCTTGTTTTGCTTCCAATAAGGATCAGCTCTTGATTAATAAAAAATTGCCCCAGTAGATCAAGTGTAGCAATTTCTTCCTACACTCAGAAAATGGAACACATGCTATCCTACTTTGTCAATGCAGATTATTTTGGACTATTGCTGTAGAAATGAGGCAACGAGTGCTTGTGCCTTTTGATTAAAAAAAATAATAGGTATCTTCTTGCTGAGGTGCCTATGTCTCTTCGATAATAGTAATAGGACTTATCTCTTAAGAAAATAAACCCGAGTAAACGTCTAGTGTAGAATCAGAGTGGATGCAAACATTAAATAGCCATTCTCCACAAATACAGATTTTGTTGGAACACCCGTTTTAAGACATGGGATATTCAAGAGAACAAGTGATTCATTTATTTTTATCTTTTATTATGCGCTAATACCAGGATGACATTCAAATGTCAGATGGCACAATTAAGACAGTCTCGGTAGGAATTTTTCCAGCATTCCCAAAATTACAGTTTAGTACATGAATGGAATCAAATGTATGTATCATTCCTACAGAGAAAAGATTGAAATTCTGAACATCTGATATGGGGGGGGGGGGGACTTCCACAGCAAATGGGAAAGGAAACACACGCGCACATGTGCACACACACGCACACAGCCAACCTATAAACCTCTTGTGAAAATGAACTGCGGAATAAAATATCCCCCTAATTTAACATCTAGTTTAATAAAAATGGATCTGGTTCAAGTTTAATACTTTTACATGGTTAGCCACAGCAGGTATTAACCTCTCAGTTTTACTATATTTTCGTAATGCTACAAAAATCCTATAAAATCAAATTATAGTGAATTTATCAGTGATTATAATTAAAAAAGCACAGCTTGTACAAAATAAAAAAAATAAGATTCTATCCTCTAATGAAAAAATTTAAGACAATTTTTTAAATGAACAAAAGAAAGCACTTGTTAAGCATTCCGTTGCATTCTGTATACTACTAGCATTTATCTGAAGTAGCCATACAGGAGCTAGAACTCCACTCCCCTTAGAATTTCATGACTAGCAATATTGACACTATTTTATATATATATATTTATATTTATATATATATTTATATAGGATCTAATTTTGATATTTTTACAAATAAATACAAGATAAACCATATTGCATAGTGTGTGCTTGCTGTCTGAGTCACACCCAAAAAGTTTCACAGTTATCATAGGGTATTAAACTTATAGTTATGGGATGCAATTTTAACAAATACATGAAATTCACTCTGGAAAAAAAAAAAAAAAACAAAAAAAAAAAAAAAAAAAAAAAAAAAAAAAAGACAGATTGGAGAGATAATTAAGCAGTGAACTCAGACAAACAACTTTTGCCATTCTTGCCAGCCATACTAATCAACTCTACAGGATGATAATATCCAGCCAACTAAAAAGCGCAACTGTTGCCTGAATTTAGGACCAAGATTGTTCTGCCTTTAAAAAAAATAAATTAGGATTTGGTCTGTTTTATAAACTCGTACTCTATCCTCGGTACACGGGTTTCCAAACCCACTTCAGTGGCACAAAGGAGACACTGCTTGAAGCAATGCCTATGTGCATCACGTGTATAGCGAATGAGAGTAATGACTGCAGTTTTTGATGTCACCAATGGCCTTGTAAAAGGATGAAAAACAGCACTTTTCCTGTCCTGTTTCTGTGCTAGCCAATTCATGGAGCTATAAAGTGACCCAATTCAACTGTCCTTACAAAACTGCAAGTGAAACAAAGACCACAACCAAAGGCTAGAAGCAGGAGGGAGGAAAGAAAGAACACTAACAGTATTTTTGCTAATCATAAGAAAATGAAAAAAGTAACAGCATCTTTTTTATCATCATTATTTTTAAATATCAACAAGATTTCACTTAACCCTACTGACTTCCATGTTTAGAAGGCGGCGCCTCTCCTCTGACTGGATTCAGCATGCTCAGAGTTTTATGGCTTGGATCCTATGGCTCAAAAAGATTCAGTATACACAGAGTAAGCAGAATATAAAAAATCCCTACTGTTGTGACACACCAGAAGTAGACTTTGCACAGTCAGACTGAAGATAATGCAACATGTGGCAGGCCAAAACTGACAGGATTTGAATGCAACTGGCATGATCTCTTACTCACACACGCACCATACACTCACGCTAACTAGTGTAAAGCTCTGCAGATATTAACCCTTTCACCAGCTATGTTCATGGAAATGCTCTCTTTAAGGCAGGAAGTATATAAGGAAGGTAAAGTTACCTTTATTTTATTCTTTGTACCTGTAAGTCATTTGTACAGATTTAATGACAATTTCAAAAACATAAATAGTGTCTTTAGAACAGGATTCCTAACTCAAGTCGTTAAAGTTCTGACCCACTCTGGAAGACATTCACTGAAAGGCCATCTAATACTTCTTTTTTCATACAATCAGCAAATTTGTCACCCCAGCACAGGAAATCATTATTTTGGAAATGCATAATTGAGGTGAACACCACACACACCCAAAACTACCTCAAATTCTTACCCACTGTCCAGGGGTTAGTCACTTTTGACTTGTTGATGTGTGCTGCAGCAATATATCCTCTATTACCAACCCCTGTCTTCTGACAAATTTTATCCCTACCTGTTAAGATGGGTAAGAATCTGAATATGCTCACCTGTCTCAGTCCAACTGACTAGCATAAAAATGAAAGGCAATGTTTTCCCAGTGAAATGTCTGCTGAGGAAAAAGGATGAAATATGCAGGACAATGCACTTGCGTAGCTCGTAGCTTCCAGTTAAGCCTACAATGTAGCAGCACTGCCATTTCATTAGATCCATTTTGCATTGCAATTCAGATGACAGATACTTCACCTGGGTAAGCAAGAAAGATGATTCTTTCCCCCTCCTTCCCCACACAGCCATATACCCAATTAACAGTGCTTCATTTTCCCATTTAAATTTTCCACAGAGAAGAAATAGAATCGTATCTGCCTTTCTTCCCACCAACCAATCATTTTGCATTTCAAATTTTGGGATACTTTCCATAATGAACTGAATCAAAAATCTATTTGAAAAATATATATTTATATAAAAAAATCCATTGGGTTGTTTGCATGTGAAACACCAACTGTTAAGTTTCGCTTTCATCTTTGATTATTGGAAGAAACAGTTCGACCAAGCTTGCATGCTAATTAATCCTCAGACGCAAGTATTATAGGCATTTCATACTTTGCCTAGTGAAAGGGCTAACCCTTCTCGACACAATCATGACTAGACCAGTGATTCTGGAGCAACATCCTATCCTTAATACTGTCAGATTCAAGCTATTGACCTGAAAAATCCTTGGTAAGGTGAGAAGATGTCACTGGGAATCAGTTAGCTGACGTGCCTAGAGTTCTGCAATACCATTTTGCTTAAGTTTTTTTTTTTTTTTTTTATGCACCATTGATTGATAGGAAAAAAAAAAGTCCACATTTTTTTTCTTTGCTTTCCAAGTCGTTCTGTGCAATGACTGACTCTTTGATACTGTCACTTTTTAAAAGTAATCTGTTCGAGCCCTCACGTTTCAACCTGCAGGGGGCTTATGTCCACTCTTTGTTTTTCCACCTTTACAGGTTTAAAAAAAAAAAAAAAAA